GCCACATTCAGGTTGGTCTTCCTTCTCTTGCAGTTTTCCAAGATCATTTTGTCTATTAGGAGTTGATCTTTTGTTCCTCTGCTATTGGGGCGGTTTCCTTTCTGCTCAGGTGGAAAGAGATTGTTTTCAACTAGATGCTGTTGTACTGCATCAGCTACCACACCAGTTAGTAATTTGAAAGTTGTTGGTAAGCAGGTAATTGGCCTGTAGTTACCTGGTGTTGCCCCTTTTGCTGGATTTTTCATTATTAGGTAGGTTTTCCCAGTTGTTAGCCACTTTTCAATTTCTCCTCCTTGTAGTATATTGTTGAACTGCTTGGCAATGAGTGGGTGTATAACAGTTAGATGTTTCAACCAAAACCCATGCAGTTCATCTTCACCTGGTGCTGACCAATTTTTGATTTTCTTTGCTCTTTTTTCTACCATTTTTGTTGTTATTACTAGTTCTTTCATTTCAACTTCTGTTTTATTTGCATCCACCTCTTTTAACCAAGCCGCATCCTTGTTGTATTTCTTTGGGTTATCCCATATCTGCTTCCAGAACTGCACTGTTTCTTCCTTGTCAGGTACTGACTGATTCCTTGCAGTTTCTCCATTGATGGATTGGTAGAAACGTTTCTGATTGGATTGAAATTGGAGGTTCTGCCTATAGTTTGCAATTCGAGCTTCATATCTACTGATTTTCCTGGCTATAGCTGTTATTTGTTGCTTTATTATTTCCAGTGCTTCCTTGATCTTCCTTGTTTCTAAGTGGTATTTCTTGATTAGGTATTTTTTGGTCTTCTTGTTCTTCAGCTTCTTTTCTTTCATCTGTTCTAGCTTGCTTGCATGTGATCTTAACTTGCTGATCTTATTTTCTAGTCTAACCTTCCATTTTTCTGGTGCACTGTTTGTTTGTTTTTCTTTTTTGTTGATTTTGCATCCCAGGTATTCTGTTATAACTGCAGCTGTGCTGTACATTAGTTGGTTTGTTTCTTGCAGTGAATTGGTGCTTATACTTGATATTGCAGTATTTGCATCTTTTAATGCTTGTGCTAGCTGTTTCTTTGGAACAAGCTTCAATGCAGGTAGCCTTATTCTGTTGTTTTTGTGCTGTTCTAGATGCTCAGTTATTCTTTGTTTCAATTCTTTTATTTCTTTAGTTAGAGGGTTTTGTTCTTCCTGAGGAAGAGGTGCCTGGTTTCCAAATGAGAACAGTTGTATATCTCTGCTGGATTCCTTCACTGCCAACTCCCCCTGGTTTGCCTCTACATTCTGAATTACTTCTGGTAAGGCTTTGATTTCTTTGCCCTGGATAAACCTTTGCAGTTCGTCCAATTCTGTTTCTGTGAATACTTTATTTCGTGTTATAAATCGGCGTTGATCTGCTAGTCTCTGTTATTTCTGATTCTGGATGTTGTTCTTTCCACAACTGGTGCATTTATTTTAGATATCCTCTTCTTGTTGGACTTGATCTGTAGTAACAGATCATTATTTCTTTGTTTTCAATCACTGTGTATCTGCGACGGGTAAACACCTTTTCTTCCAGTAGTTCTGCAGCTGCTGGCCCTGGTTGCTCAGCCAACAGTCCTGAGTCCTGTAACCCATTTTTCACCAGATATCCAGGAACTCCGATATCTAGCGCGGACCTTGTTAACCCGGGCGACGTCCGAGCCGGTATGGCATTCTGAAATTTACGTCTCACCATATTTTTTATGGGAGAGACACTCTTTGTCTGACTCCTCTGATGAGACCTGTCCAGTATGGTTGAACCTCTGGCATAGCTCTCATCTTCCTCAGAGTACACAAGCCCCACAACCACGTCAAGGTAGTGCCTCACTGGGGGTTATTATTATTATTATTATTATTAGACTGAAAGGCTCCGGCAATTGCGAAAAGCTTTAGCTTTAAATTAAGCCTGCTTACCTTCAAAGAAAACTTTCTAAAAGCCAGAGACAGACTCAGTTAAAGGGGGCAAAACTAATTTCATTTGTTTAAAGGGATTAAACCTTTCCTGTTGTTTTTTTCCCCTTCCCCAACCCAAACCACGTTCTTTTATAACCTCTCCTCTCTTCCCCCCCTTTTCTTCAGTTCACCTCCAACTATGAGCTGCTTCTGGAAGCGCCAATCAGTTGGAGCCAATCAGCTGAAACCCTGCAGGCTGCTGGGGCTTCTGCTGAGTCCAAACAGTTCTGCAGCTGCAGCTGGCTCTCCCTCAGGCTTGGGTTGCTTGGGCTCATTCCCCTCCCCTGCTACACTTGGCTAGCAGTTGCATACCACCTGCCATGTGGCAAAGCACCACAAGCGGTACGTGTACCACCAGTTGAAAAGCCCTGTTCTAGGGAACCAGAGAATGCACGTCATGGGCAAGCTTGCACAATATGTTTAATAGTTTGCATATCAGCATCACAATTGCAACAAAAGAAATCTTCTCATATGCACTGATACAGGATAGAGGCACTTCTTCTAGTATTGTACCTAATACAATTCAATTTTGTTGAGACAGAGCAAGGCAGGTCAAAACCAGGTAGTTTGGTAGAGGGTACCTTGGACCATTCCTCTCTCTCCAGGCATTCTCAGGGTTAGATTGGGTAGATGTTAAACAAATAGCTATTTTCCATGCTGGTCAATGGGGGTTTCAGTCTTGTGATGGCTGTGCATTGTCCTGGTGAATAGGGAGAACCTTGTTGTTCAGCATCCTTGACCAAAGCCGAGCCAGAGCTTGTTGTCTTCTAAAGTGGGGCTAAGCACTGCTAACCAGCGCACAGGAATGGAATACAATGTGCCAGAGATTATACCCATTGTCTGGCAGAGTTGGACATCGACCATTTGGATATAGGTGCTGTTAAGTGTGTTCCAACCACACACTTCTGTTAAGACAGAAATGCAGTGCTGTAATTAATATCAACTAATTAGTGGGCTTACCAGGCTAGGTGAAGATTTGTGAGGAAATGAGTTACCTATCCCTGAGTATCAGCAAAATTTGGCTGCCACTATGTAGATTGTGTAGGTTTGAAAAAATACACTATACATTATGAATCTACTAAGACTGAATTGAAATTACAACCTTCAGCAAGTTCACTTGATATGCCTTGGTAATTGCTTTTCATACTTGAAAACATTTTCTGCTCTCAGCTTGACTTCTGGGATGGAATCTTCTAAACCAGGGATGTTCAACTTACTCTGAATGTTTTAGGGAGAGAAACTCCAAGAAGTATTGATTGAAACCAGGATCTAATTCATTTTATACTTAAATAAAATTTAGCATAGATATTATTCACTCTCTTGATCTTCATCGACGATTTGGAGGAGGGGATAGATGGGGAACTCATCAAATCTGCGGATGACACCAAGCTGGCAGGAATAGCCAACACTCCAGAAGACAGGCTTAAGATACAGGAGGATCTGGACAGACTTGAACACTGGGCACTATCTAACAAAATGAAATTCAATGGTGAAAAAAGTAAGGTTCTACATTTAGGCAAGAAAAACCAAATGCACAGGTATAGTATAGAGGGTACCTTGCTCAATAGTAGTAACTGTGAGGGGGATCTCGAAGTCCTAGTGGACAATCATTTAAATATAAGCCAGCAGTGTGCTGCAGCTGCCAAAAAAACCAACACAGTGCTAGGCTGCATTAACAGAGGTATAGAATCAAGATCACGTGAAGTATCAATACCATTTTACAATGCCTTGGTAAGGCCACCTTGGAATACTGCATCCAATTTTGGTCACCACAATGTAAAAAAGATGCTGAGACGCTAGAAAGAGTACAGAGAAGAGCAACAAAGATGATTAGGGGACTAGAGGCTAAAACATACAAGGAAAGGCTGCTGGAATTGGGTATGTCTAGTTTAATAAAGAGAAGGATGAGGGGGGACATGATAGCAGTGTTCCAGTATCTCAGGGGCTGCCACAAAGAGGGAGTCAAGCTATTATCTAAAGCGCCTGAAGGCAGGACAAGAAGCAACGGATGGAAACTAATCAAGGAGAGAAGCAACCTAGGAGAAACTTCCTGACAGTTAGAACAATTAACCAGTGGAACAACCTTCCTCCAGAAGCAGTGAATGCTCCAACACTGGAAGTTTTTAAAAAGAGATTGGACAGTCATTTGTCCAAAATGGTGTAGGGTTTCCTGCCTGAGCAGGGGGTTGGACTCGATGACCTCCAAGGTCCCTTCCAACTTTATTATTATATTATATTGTATTGTATTGTGTTGTATTGCATTGTATTAATTATATTATTATATTATATTATTATATTACATTATATTAAAATATACTGAATTATTTTCACTGTTTCAATTTAGTACAGGTAGTCCTTGATTTTATGACCACAACTGAGTTCAAAATTTCTGTTGCTAAGTGAGACATTTGTTAAGTGAGTTTCACAACCTTTCCTGCCACAGTTGTTAAGTGAATCACTGGAGTTGTTAAGTTAGTAATGCAGTTGTTAAGTGAATCTGCTTCCCCATTTATTTTGTTTGTCAGAAGGTCACAAAAGATGATCACATTATCCTGGGACGCTGAAAACTGTATAAATATGAGTCAGTTGTCAAACATCTGAATTTTGATCATGGGAGTATGGGGAGGCTACAAAGGTTGTAAGTGTGAAAAACGGACATAGGTCACTTTTTTCAGTGCTGTAACTTTGAACGATCACTAAACAAACCATTGTAAGTTGAGGACTGGCTGTAATACTTTTGGAAGTCTCTAGACATAATAGTCAGCGTTTTTGAAGTAGGGGAGGTTAATGTCACCCCAATGCACTTCCAAATTATGTACCTCTGATTCAATATTTGATTTATAGATATGAATAAACATAAACATGTTTATTATGAATATGCAAAAATTCAAAAGAAGTGCTTTATAACATGTAAGAGTGCAAATAAAGTTCTTCACACTGTTAAAGCAACAAGAGCCAAAACATGCAAAGGCAACTAGAAGCAGTTTCTGAAACAACTATATAAGCCTGCATAAGACAACAGTTGCTTTAATGGTTCAAAAAAGATGCTTCACTCACCTACTTTTCCATTGAAATGTATTTCTTTCGGATCCTTTCCACAGTTCTGATGGTACTCTATATCCAGAGTTTTCTCAAACTGTTCCATCAGTCCCTGAAACACTATATACAATATTTTAAAGCATGTTTAAAATTAAGTTGCAAAGACTTGTAGTCTCTGTGTATGTTCTAAAATATTTATCATTAATATTGATCCGTAACTAAACATTCTTCTCTTTTCCTGTTTAAGATGGTACTTCTACGTAAAACCAGGGTTTTTTTCCCCCCAAAAGTAGGGCTTTGTCATCAATTCTATAGGATCAAAACTCTGGGAACAAAAAGCAAATAATAATTTAATCACTACTCCATCTTGAGCTCTTCTCTTTTAAAATAAGAAAACATACTATGAGATCACATATTACAGAGTAAATTTTGGAATGGGGTGAAAACTCCAGGTAGATGTTCCTTAAAAATATAGATAATTGTTTATCAGTTAAAATTACTGCAAGAATTCATCATCTGTGTAGTATTTTTTATATCTATATATTTTTATTATTTTATAAAATCACAAATGCTTAATATTTTATCAGCAGCATATCTGGGTTCTAACATTTAACTTATTAATACATGTTAAATTCCTTTCTCTCTACCTCGTTTTTCTAGCCATTGATAAAAAGTGTCCCATGTTCTATAATAAACTGAATTTTCTTTCTCTTTCATTTTCGGTGTCAATCTGCCATTTATGCACAATTTAGAATTTTTTTAATTAACTCTTCCTCAGTTGGTAAATCTTCATTTTTCCAATGTTGAGCAATACAATTCTCACTGCAGTTAATAGATGCAAAATTAGATATATATACACTTTCTCATAATTTCCTACAATTATGCCAAACAGAAATAGTTCTGGCTTAAAATCTATATGTTTTCTAGTCATTTTCTCTAATCATGTGTATATTCATAACCAGAATCTTTGGCTTAACAACTATTTTGATTATCTCAAACCTGTTTCTATACCAATTTTGAAACCCAAAATCAGCAGCAAAGTGGGACATAAATGCACATACGTTAACTGATATCCAGTCTTCCCTTATGGCTTGATCCAAAGCCATTCAAATGAAATTGACTTAATTGAAAATCATTTAGATTTAAACTTTGGAAGTTTTCTAGAAAGGAATTGCCAAATCTAATCTTAAAGGAGACACCTGTAGGAGATGACCAGGCTGAGCCCGAAGGCAGGGTCAAATACATCTTTATTCTGGAGTCCCTACACCCCCAGAAGAGACTAAGTCCAATGCCCCCCTTTGAAGCCCATTAACTCTTATCTAATGCAATTTGCCTTGGCAGTTGGTTGATCAGATTCTTGTATATAGATTGCATGGAATTAACTTTCAGTGCTTTTAAATTCTATTCTGGCTCCTGATTTCATGCGCCTGACAACACCTAGATTTCCTTTAAGCTGGGACACCTGTGTGATGATCTTCAATTTCTATCATTTTTGAACAATTAACCATGATGTCAGGAGACAATCCTATTGGAAACTAAAAATGGAACTGCCTTTGGATGCTAGAGATACACTAGGTTTAATATTTGCATTCCAAGTATTGGAGTTTCCTTTGGGCAGCAAACTGCCTTACTTGGTTCTGATGATTAGCATTTAATATGCATTATTTGATAATGTACACAGAAATGCAAAGGAAACAATGCCTGTAGTAAAAAGAATTAACTTAAAATATTTGAATATATCATGAAAAGTATATTTTCTAAAACTGAGCTCTTTAGATTCATCAATGTTTTAAATAAAGACTCTTAGGAGAAAGAAGAGCAATGGGATTATGAATTTCATATGAACCTGAATCAACTCATAGCAAACAGCTATTACTAAATACCAAGAATTTGGTTAAATACTGTTACTTCAAAGCAAATTGAAAAACTCCCTTTTGTAGATAATTTTTTTAAAAAACATGCTCAAAGGAGAAAAACATTGTTGCAAAAGCTTTAACTTTATTAATAAATTAAGAGTAACATTAGGAAAAAATGCAAGACTTTACCATGAATAACATGAAAGCAGAGTTAACTATGGGAAATATTCCAGGTCAATTTGTTGTCTGCAAGAAACTGGATCTTTTAACAAGGAAATCAAGCTGTCATAGGAGTGAGTCATTTAGCTCTGATTAGTACATGAAATATGGCATAAGCCTTCCCTTAAATCATTTATATTTTACTTTTTTATGATGCTGTTGTGAATTACCTCTTTCTGCATCTGTAATTAGAGGACGTAACAGATGGCCTAGGCTTAGTTCAGGGGGATAAATCTATTCAAATAATCTATAAAGAAGCTCCTGTGGACAAATAGTTCTCTCTTCATTGCATGTTTTAAGGTTTAAGCTCAAGTTTTTGGGAAAGGATCATTCTACAACAGCCTGGTGAAGTGTTTTTGGAGTTCAAAGAGTCTTAGCAGATTGTTTTTTAAAAAAGTGGCGTTCTTTCCAGAATTAATAAAACATCTTGAAGAAAACTGTCCTCTTATTGGAAATGTGCTGTTAATCGTGTTTGTTTTCATCTTTTGTGGAATTGCAATTTACTTATTCATTTTAGGAGCAATTAAGCATCTAACAAACTTTCTAATGTGAAAAAAATGAAGCAAGATTAGGCCCGGTTAATACTTGGATGAGAAATCTAAAAAAATCCTAGGGCTATGGATTATACTGGCAAGGAATTAATAAAATTAATAAAATCCCAGAACAAAGCTATGGTAAACCACTTCTTGCTATTGCCAAGATAACTTAATGAACATATTCATGAAGTCAGGAAGAGCTGAACTTGGCAAAAGGCAGATATTTATCTTTTTAATATATACAATATATTGGACCAAATAAAGGATTCTGAAACTTTTTCCACTGGGCATTTTGAGGGCACTAGAGACCATTTTCCCACTGACTACTTTTGAGATTTTTTTGGAATTTTAGGGGTTTTTCTTTTGAAATAATAAAAGGCATGGTTCTCTGGACACTCAATTCTGTCTGTATGATAAAACTCCTGACATACACAATTCTACTTCTATCAGCTTTATTGGATAGTGAAATGATCAGACTTGGTTTGGTGAGTAGCAATTCTATGCCACTGCCAATGGACAAAACTGAGCACAAAACACTGAGCAATGAAATGGTTATAGCCAGTTGACAACAAACCTCAGCTAATGTTCTGTCCTTCTGGGCTAGTTTATTTCTGACATCTATTCCCTACCATGTTTCTGTTCAGTTTCTGATTATTACTACTTCTCTCCTGACACAACTAACTGGAAATGTCCATCCAACCTTCCAGTGAAACTGCTATTATATGATTAAATCAGGAAATATTGTTGTCCATCACTTACTTTTAAACATTCATCCATATGCAGTGCTGCTGCTGCTGTAGCTCAATAGTAAAAATCCTAAAAATTCAGCTGTTTTTGTCCCACAAGATATATTCTTATCATAAAATAAACTATTGTCTTTTCCAGACAATAGATCCATTACATAATATTTATTGTTACCAAAAATTATTTTTGTCTTATAAGTAACATGTTTTCCAGACAATAGATCCATTATATATTTATTGTTACCAAAATTATTTTTGTCTTATAAGTAACATGTTTTCCAGACAATAGATCCATTATATAATATTTATTGTTACCAAAAATTATTTTTGTCTTATAAGTAACATGTTTTTCAGACAATAGATCCATTATATAGTGTAATATTTATTCTGTTTTGTTACCCAAAAAATCACCTTTGGCCTATAAGTAACATGTGCTTTTCAGGTTCCATATGAACCTCCAGTAAAGTTCAGAATTCATAGTTAGAGAGGTTGCATACACAATATAGTCCTTATCTACTCTAGCAATTTTTAAGAGGCACAAGATAGATCATATGGCTTAGGTCATACCTTCATTTTTCAATTGCAAAGTTCTCCAGACAGCCTTGCTCTACTAAGCCAGTGATTCTGAATCTGAGAAAATCTGATATTTGAGTAGATCTATCAGCTGATTCATTGAAACCTCTCCATGTTCACAGCCTGTCAACCAGCCAGAACTCATTTGATACTTCAGCCTCCATCTTCCTATCTTTATTGCCAATCAGATGATTTCTGAAACCAACTAAGTTCTGAATTGGTTTGATGATGCTACAAGTAAGCAAGTAACAACATGAGTACTGACATACAGAAAATTGACACAAGCAGATCTCAAGTACCATTATAGACTGAATCCATATATGCTAATAAGCTAAGTCGAACAGTGTTCTTGTACAAATAACCCAAACAGAACAAATAGAAAAACATGATATTTTAAAATATGATTCCATTTACTCACCTCCAACCCCTCAGTTCTCAAATGACTTCTAATGCACAATATCCTTTATGAACAGTTTTGTGATAAAAGTGATTGTTATTATGACCTTAATTATGTAAAATAATTTGGATTTTAAATATTTAATTTCAATTTTTTGGTACAAAATTTAATTTTAAAAGGTTTTTTTTTTTAAATGAAGAGGGTGGAAAAGAATGAATGTAACTATAGTCATTATTTTACCCGTTCCATACTCTTAAAAATGAAATGAGGCATTTGTTTAATTGTGGTCCACTATTGAAGGAAGTTTGAGAAGCAGTACATTACATCTCATTTTCCGCTGACATCTTTTTTTATTAGTAAGATACTAAAGTACAGTACTTGAGTATTGACCTGTGTTTACAGTAAAATAATTGCTATTTATAGGTCCCTTTAGTTTGTTTATATTTTTAAGCAGTTATACTGATCTAAAAGATTATGACAAATAAGCAATATCACTATCACAGTTAACACTCCAATTTTTGAAAGATATATTAAAATGACAATATCTATACAGTTCTTTGACTTAACATTTAATAATTCATACACATTTCCTATTATTTCATTTGTTGCTAAATCAGTGTCTTTCTGCAGTAACTGTTGGAAACAATATCAATTCACTTTTCTGCTGTATTATATACTATAAAAATCAGTGCACTATCTATAAATAACAGCATGTTCCCTCTGAGTCCTGAAGCTAATGTATTTAATCATTAATCAAATTTAGTACTGAGCCTTTTCCGGCTGCATAGTTTCCATGAACTTTGACTCAATAATAGACACCAATTAATGACTTTTACAATTTGATCTCCAGAATGCTCTCAGCGTCCCCTGAACTTAGCACCTATTCTCAGCGCTCAAGTAATTTATATCAAGTACTAACTGACGTAGCTACACTAAATTTCCTTTTTTTCAGAGATAGGTTAAAACATTAAATGCAGAAATGTCTGGATAGAAGCTATGTTCATAATTCACTTCTCATACAATGTACTTCTATAAGATAGATGCTTTTATTTTTAAAATATATTAGCACTGATGCTTTTATTTTTAAAATATATTAGCACTGATTTCCAATATATTTAATAATATTGAGTAATGCGACATATAGCTGAAAAAAAACCTTATATGCAAATGGGATGTTACAATGCATTTACCTGCTGCAGAATCCTGTTTGAAATGATGAATCTGCCATGTGATCAGCCCACAAAATCACCAAATTCCTCATTTGGGACAAAGCCTAATTCTGAATATTTTTAAGAAAGAAAGATTTAAGATGTCAACTCTGGTGATCTAGTTTATTTCAAAATACATAGTGTTCAGGAATAAATAATACTGGATGATTAAGTCAAAATATTTGTGGGTAATAGAAACATATAGGCTGTGGCTCAATATTCAAAGAAATGCTTTGTGTGCCAAATGATTCAGATTGAACCCTGGTCTCTTGAAACTAAGATTTTTAGGACCAAATTATCTAAAGCAGTGGTTCTCAACCTGTGGGTCGGGACCCCATTTGGGGTCGAACGACCATTTCACGGGGGTCGCCAAACAACGCAGTCCACCATTTTTCCCCCTTTTCCTTAGCTGTGCTACTCCCTTTTATTCTATTGGCTTTTGAAAGCCAATAGAATAGACTCTCTTGAATAGAGTCTAATTCTATTGGCTTTCAAAAGCCAATAGGAATTGTCCAGGCTGTCTCTGCCCTGCTGAGCCCGCCAAAAATCCCATTCTGCAAATGGTGCTGCAAGTTGTTTGCAGCGAAGGCGAGCTGTCTGGAAGTTTCCACCCCTCCCTGCTGAGCAACTACTAAAAATGTAAGTAAAAGAGGGCCAGAGGTGGGAGACTGGCGGGCGCAGGGAGGGTTGCTGGTGCACGTGGGGCCCGGCGGGTGCCTTACCTCCCTTGGGCTGGGCCAGCTGGTGGCTCAGCTGGTGGTCGGCCTTGCCAGCTACGCCTTGGCCAGCACAGGGGGTGGCACCACGCATGCGCAGCACTCCCAGGCAGGGAAAGTCCTCAACTTACGACCGGTTGGGGGTCGCGGCATTAAAAAGGTTGAGAACCACTGATCTAAAGCATCAGATTCTTATCACCCGCAGACTCTCAAATGAGTATTTCTCCTTCAAATGAACATACCCATTCCTCAAATGAGTGTTTCTACAGGTTATTTTAACAAAGGAAGAAATATTTACTCATTTTCCCTTGTAAGAATTTGCAATTCTCTCCCAAATGCTATTTCAAATCAGGAAGCCGGGAGAATCCCTAATCATTATTTTCCTCCCCCTGCACAATAAGATTAGTAGTGTGATAAATTCCTGAGGGGGCCAGATTGCATTAGAGAAAATAAATCCGTTTTGCTTTCAGAGGGCAACCTCGAAAATCCAATGCAATCCCCACGGAAAATACCAGTATGCGCTCTTTTCCACTAAGAAAAAAACGGATAAAAACACATTTCGCAGCTCTCCAAAGCGAAGATAAACTAATAACCTATCTATCTAGAGTAGAACATCAGGATTAACGGTGGAAGAAAGAGGGGGTTTGATTTCTTCTCGGAGACTCGTGAACGTCTGAAAAGAACGTCCACCCAACATGTGGCGGTGGATGAGGGCTGGCGTAAACTGCAGGCGGAGCCCCAAGGCATTCAAACTGGAAGTGGACGGCGGGAGAGAAGCAGAGTCGTTTGGCTTGTTGAATATCTTCTTGCCAATCGCTGAAAACGCAGGAAGCCTCGGCGACCGAGCGGTTGTTCGGCCTCCTGACCCCTGGATCCGCTCATATCTCTGTGCCGCTTGGGAGCAAGAGATCAAGGAAGTTGAAACGAGAAAGAGCAGGCAGGGCGGAGCCTGGGAGCGAGGGGGAGGGTCTCTTCTGCTTCAGCTGCTTGGCTATTTCAGACACCTCAGCATCTGCGTGGGGAGCGAGCCTCTCCGCGCGAGGCTCCGCAGGCTTTCAGCTTCACCTTGACTCCTGCCCGCCGGCGCTGAGGAATCTAGAATGGCTCCCACAGACGCCCAGTAGCTGCTCGGAATTGACTGTGTTCGCCCACGTCGAGCCAAATGAGGCGGAACGAAGGGACAAGGAAAACGAGTTTAGCAGCCGTAGCGCCTTGCCTAGTCTGGGACCGAGCTTTCAGCGTTCTTGCCTGGTTCTCCGGCCAGCTTTTGCGACGACTGCAGTAAACGTAACGAAGGCTGACTCTTTGAGAAGAACTGCAAGGTGGCTGGGCGCGCGCCTGTCGGAGCTCGATCTCTTCGCTCCGAAAACGCTGGCAAATTGACCCTGTGGCAGGTGCGCTGCAGCGTGATAAGCACAGTAAAAATTCTTGGCCTCTAGGTGGAAGCACAACCTTAACCAGAGTCAAAGTTGATTGGCAATAGTTAATATGTCTTAAAATCCCAAGCTAATAGACTACTTTTTTCCCACCCCAGCAATTTAAAATTTTGTGGACTTCATTTCCCAGGATTCCCTAGTCAATCTAGAAATTCAACTCCTACTGAAGTCCACGCATCTTTAAATTAAGTTGCTACGGTAGAGAAAGACCATGGACAGGTAGACTTTGATTTATAACCATAGCTGGAACCAAAGTTTCCATCACTAAATAAGGGGTCATTAAGTCACCCAATTTTACAATCTTTTTTGCCATGACTATTAAACGAATCCAGCTACTCCCGTGACTTTGCTTGTTAGAAGCCAGCTGGAAAAATCACAAATGGCAATCAAATGACCCAGAGACACTGCAGTCATTGTAAATATATACCAATAGGAGCCCTGGTGGCATAGTGATTAAAATGTAGTATTTCAGGCTAATTCTGCCCACTGCCAGGAATTTGTTCGATCCTGACTGGCTCAAAATTGACTCAGTCTTCCATCATTCTCAGATCAGAATTGTTGGGATTGATATGCTGATGATGTAATCCACCCAGAGAGTGCTGTAAAGCATTACAAGGCAGGAAATTAGTCTACAGGTTGTTGCTACCTAAGTGCTATTGCTATGCCAAGTACCTGAATCACAATCATATGACCATGGGAACCATGTATCTGTTGGAAGTGCAGGGAGCATCCGAAGACTACCTATAGCCTACCTTGGGCAGTTAAAAAAGGAACATATCCAACATAAAGAATTAAAATCATATGGCTCTATGTTTCAGTCAATATCTGAGGGCAAAGCTGAATTCAATCAATGAACACAGAGAATATCATAAATCTAATGTCTGGAATTGCTATAGATAGATAGTTGCTTTCTATTGTGTTCATACAGTAAAATCCTATCAACATTAACAAGATGCGACTGTCTTGAATTTCAGACTAGGTTCACTCCAATCATAGCTAGACATGCCAAGATTGGCCCCAGGAGCTTTGCATGCCATGTTATTAAATTATGGCCAAGCACTTTGTGGGGCCAGTACACCAATGCTGGTTTATACCTTTATAAAGCTGCTTCATACATTTAGAATTAGTTCTTGTTTAGCTGCCACAGTTGGGACCTGCAAAGTTGAGGGCTGTTTATGCCCTTTTGTTCAGCCTCCTCCTCCTCCAAAGTTTAAGGATAGGAGTGAAAATGGCAGAAGCTTGTGTTACTTGCATCTTCTTTCAATTAGCCAGGGATATTCTCACATGCAAACTTGATGGGCATTTGGCTTTGCAAAATGTACTGTTTGCTAACATTCATGTTTGCAGATTTTTAATGGAACCTTAACAAACATCTTGGGAAGTACTGCCATGTGTGCTGCAATATTGTGCCCTTCAAATAGGAATCTAATTGTCACTTCAGATTTATGTATGACTTTGGCACTTCTGTATTGGGACTTCACATACACCAGGCTGGATTCCCAAGACACATTCAACCACATCAGATAAAAGCCAAGCAATTACATTCACCCAACACAGTAAGCTTGTCTATCTTTTATACTAGCTAATTTTTATTTGATTTAAAATGTTACACAAATTTGGATCATGTGGTTGATTTATAATTCATTTCATTATGCAAGCATAGCAAATGGATTGTTTTTGTGCAGGCAGTGTTTTTTAATCTGTCAGGTATGTTAGATTGAAACATAGCATCTGAGCCATGCTGATAGGTGTCCTTAGATATGGGGGAGGCTTTTTAAAATTTGATTTTCTAGTTTTAAAAAATGCAGAAAGAGCCTGCATTAAAATGGAGCTACAGCAGTTTGTGAAGGTGATTTAACTTTTCTTTGCCTGGATTTATGAATTCATAATTTGGTTGATGCATAAAGGTGGACAATCAATGTAAGTTATTTTTCTAGTACATTAATATTTGAAGGAAAAAACTAATATTTCTAGTTTTGTATTGATAACAGATCTCTCTACATGGCCTGATAACATCCAGGTAGATTACTATACCCTGCTGTTTATAATATAGGCTTTGAAATAGATCAGTATTTCTCAACCTTGGCCACTTTAAAATGGGTGGACTTCAGCTCCCAGAATTCCCCAGCCAGCAAGGTAACTGGCAAATTCTGAGATTTGAAGTCCACACATCTTACAGTTGTCAAGGTTGGAAAAAATTAGTACGGTACTCCTCTTCTTATGGCCACAGTTGGGACCAGGATTGCTATTGCTAAACAAGTCAGTTGCTAAATGAGTCATGCCTGATTTTACAACCTTTTTGCCACAGTTGTTAAGTGAATCACAGGTTAAGTGAATCATGCAATCTTTAAGTGACTCTAGCTTCCCTAATTAACTTTGCTTGTCAAAACCTGCTGGAAAAGATGCAAGTGGAGGTCACATGACCACAAGACACTGCAACAGTTGTAAATACATACTGATTGCCAACCAACCAAATTTTGATCATGTGACATTGGGGATGGTGTGACAGTCATTAGTGCAAGGACTGGCTGTGTGTCAATTTTTCAGTGCCGTTGTAACTAAATGAATGGTTGTAAATTGAGGAACATGGTGGATCTAGGCCTGTCCTCTCCTGTATGGTTATACCCCCGATCTATTAGTGGGGGAAAGTGGCAAGAAGTTGACAAGCAACAGGGAGAAAGCAGAACTATTTAATTCGTTTTTTGCATCTGTCTATACACAAAAGGAAAAAACAGACCAACCTATCAAAAATAGTGCCATAAAAAACAGAATAGAAACACAAGTTAAGATAGGCAAGAAAATGGTAAGTGAGCACCTGTCCAGCCTAGGCCAGTTCAAATCACCAGGACCGGATGGATTACACCCAAAGATTCTGAAGGAACTGGGAGATATGATCTCAGAACCATTGAACTATATTTTTCAAAGATCCTGGAGCACTTGGGAACTACCAGAGGACTGGAAAAGAGCTGATGTAGTTCCCATCTTCAAAAAAGGAAAACTAATGGATCCAGGAAATTACAGATCCAGGAAATTACAGATATCAGCCTGACCTCAATACCTGGGAAGATTTTAGAAAAGATAATCAAACAACGAATCAACAAACACCTAGAGGCAAAAAAAATCACTACTAAAAGTGATGGATTTGTCAAAAACAAATCATGCCAGACAAATCTTATTGTATTCTTTGACCAAGTGACAAAATTAGTGGATCAGAAGAATGCTGTGGATATAATTTACTTGGACTTCAGTAAGGCATTTGATAAAGTAGATCACAACCTATTACTTGATAAGATAAAAAAATGTGAGTTAGACAGCATCACCACTAGATGGATTTGTAGCTGGCTGACGGTCCATACTCAGTGTGTGGTCCTCAATGGAACCGCATCTATATGGAGGGAAGTGTGTAGAGGGTTGCCCCAGGGCTCTGTTCTGGGCCCAGTGCTCTTCAACATCTTCATCAACAATTTGGAGGGGATAGATGGGGAACTCATCAAATTTGCAGACCAAGCAACACACCGGAAGTCAGCATGCCCCGACACTTGTTATGGATGGTTCGACTGAGTTTTTGTAATGTTTCACAGCAGACGTCTAAATGGATGGTTGGACCACGCTCCATGAACTTCACTAGCAGTACTCCTTTGGCATCTTCACATTTGGCGGGATTTTCTATGGCACCACTTCCTGTCTGGTGTTGACTCACGATAATGTTCGCCCGGACACCGCTAGAGGCAACCAAGAAATTTTGAAGCAATTCCGTTGGGATGTTTTTGATCACCTCCTTCATAACCCAGATTTGGCGCCAAGCAACTACTACTAAGGAATTTTAAACCTTGTAAGACATTATGACAAGTGCCACAATTTGAAAGGCGATTATGTTAAAAAGTAATGGAATGTTGTAGTTTTCTAATGTGTATGATAAAAGTTCTGTATCTGCAAGTGTCTGTCATTGATAATCAAATGGAGGTTTATTTCGGAATTGCCCTCATATATTTCACTGCTCTGAATAATTCTTTTTTATCATTCTCCCAATACTGGAACTGAAGAGGCTTGGAGAGAATAGCCATGGAACAATATTTTGTTAATTTATAGTTACTAAAAAGCATGCCCATCTTTGTTTTTAAGTGAGAAACACATGTATCCACTGCTGGTGGTGGTGGTATTTTTATTTGTAGTTCATTCTTTGACATGAGGGCACCAATTCAGCATGTAATCCAATTAAAGTTGCCATGGCACTGTGCTTATTCACCAGGACAAATCCAATTGATTTCTATTGCACTTTCTTCTGAATAATAATAATAATAATAATAATAATAATAATAGTAATAATAAATACAACAAGGATGCGGCTTGGTTAAAAGAGGTGGATGCAAATAAAACAGAAGTTGAAATGAAAGAACTAGTAATAACAACAAAAATGGTAGAAAAAAGAGCAAAGAAAATCAAAAATTGGTCAGCACCAGGTGAAGATGAACTGCATGGGTTTTGGTTGAAACATCTAACTGTTATATACCCACTCATTGCCAAACAGTTCAACAATATACTACAAGGAGGAGAAATTGAAAAGTGGCTAACAACTGGGAAAACCCACCTAATAATGAAAAATCCAGCAAAAGGGGCAACACCAGGTAACTACAGGCCAATTACCTGCTTACCAACAACTTTCAAATTACTAACTGGTGTGGTAGCTGATGCAGTACAACAACATCTAGTCGAAAACAATCTCTTTCCACCTGAGCAGAAAGGACACCGCCCCAATAGCAGAGGAACAAAAGATCAACTCCTAATAGACAAAATGATCTTGGAAAACTGCAAGAGAAGGAAGACCAACCTGAATGTAGCATGGATTGACTAAAAAAAGGCATTTGACTCTCTGCCACATGATTGGATAATAAAGTGCCTAGAAATAACAGGAGTCAGTAGAAACATCAGAAAATTTGTGCAAAGATCGATGGCACAATGGAAGACACAGTTGCAAATCAATGGTGAGAAGCTGGGAGAGGTTAATATCAAGAGAGGAATATTTCAAGGAGATTCATTGTCACCATTACTGTTTGTTATTGCACTGTTTCCTCTGTCAACAATA